GGGCTGGTCACATATCTCGAAGAACCGACAACCGATGGGGAAGAAAGGTTCTTAAGTGGTGACCGCGTACGGGCAAACGCAGTGTTGGACGACCCCCCCCCCCCCACTGGATGGAGTGACGACCTGAAATGCGTTGCAGGCAGTCAGTGGATGCAGGTGGCTCAGGACCGTTCTTTATGGCGGTCTATGGGGGAGGATTATGTCCAGCAGTGGACGGATAATGGCTGAAATGGTATATATTATTATTTGCAAAATAATATTATAGTAGATTCAAATTATCTCCAAAAGTAGATTAAGTTAGGATACCTAGACGTCAACCTGTTCTATGTCCCTTACAACGAGCTATCGGTCTTATGCGATCAAAGTAAAAATACTTCGAATTAGGCAATTTTATTTTACAACACAGGGGGCAAACGAGCATGCGGCTCACCTGATGGTAAGTGACTACCGCCGCCCATGGTCACCCACAACACCTACGGCATTGCAGGTGTGCTGCCGGCCTTTTAAAAGCAATATGCTCTTTTCTTGAAGGTTATGTTGTCGTATCTGTTCAGAAATACTGCTGCTGGAAGTTGATTCCAAAGAGTGGTTGTGCTGTGTTAAAATAAATTTACTTTCAAGGACCCACATGAAACTAAACTTATAAATGTCTTAACAATAGTAACTCAAACTTTAATAATTTCTGAATGTGTAATATGTTTATGTGGTCGCTTTAGTCAATTATTTTTATATACTTGTTTGTGCTTGTAAATATTAATAAAGAAATATCTAGCAGCAAACATCAGCGATATAAACCAAGAATGGCGGCTGAAGAGCAGCTATAAAACATAAAATAACAGCTCAGTCACATTATAAATATTCTCTCGGCGCATGAATAATTCAATTGTTTAGGAATGCGATTTCGTATGTATATTTGATCACGAAACAATATCCACGGACAGTTCTAGGTGGCACCGCTCAAACAAATCACTTACTCTGTGAAACCATGCATGCAGCATTACCTTATAATCACGACATAATTATAGGCACGCTATAGTTTAAATCATTGAAATGCGATGAATTCACAGATAGAGAAACGGGGACACGAACAAAAAGTATTATAAATAAAAAGATACGAACATGCCGAAGTATTAATTAATTTATTTATTTAATACAAAAATCCACAGCTCTTAAAAATACAACTTACATGCTAAGTCTCTTATGAATACAGCCAATAACGGATTTTATTTATACAAACAAAAATTTTGATTCCAAAGCGAGGTAGGCGAGTTAGAGTGGGTGTATGCAAGTAATGTATGAAAGAAAACTATGTATAATAATAAGTGTCCATAAGGTTAATTAATATATAAAATGATTAAAATCCATGTTGCTACAGTTTCTATTTTCATAATTAGTGCACTCTTTTACATCTTAACGTTGCGTTTACAGATTTTTTTTTTTTATTGATGGGTGAAAATGGTATGGTAACCCCGCCTGCGCTAACGGAATACGCTGGCGGAGCACCAGTGAAGGGTGATAGATGAGAATGAAAACAGGCCAGTTAGCCCATCATGATGACTTCATCAGGAATCAACCATGATAGTTTCCAGGGGGAACCGCGAGGAGGTCGACCTGGTTGGGTATATTGCTAGCAATGAGATTCTCAGTCTCCATTACTAACAATCCCTTTCCCCCCTGCGTTTACAGATTATTGAACTAGTTTGCACCCTACTGTATGAACTGTATAAATTTTCTTCGTGAAAAAAATGTTCTTGTTTCGAAGTAAAATCTACTTGCAGACACTTTCTAAATTCAAATATTTCCAATAAAACATCCCGTCGTTAATCTGTACCGTACACACATACGATTAAAGTTGCCTTTTTTTTATTTTGCAGAACAAAATATACTTAATAATAGTGTAATGTATGCCAATATCGCGGTAGCTTGTCATACGCACACATCGTTGCCCGACGTGTTTACACGGTTGAGAGATCACAAAAAACGCTCCATTTGGTAATTAAATTGTGCCTGGGAGCTACCGGCGGGCAGGGGACGGCGGAGTGGGGGCCGGTGGGCCGCGGGCTGCTACTGTAAACTTGAACGTCAAACATTGACCGTCCGCGGGCAAGTACAACACAATTTCGGATGATAGTTGTCTATATAAGAGTAGTTGGAGTTTTTATTTATTTATTTATTTATACTCTTGCAGACATTAAACTATGTATACAGGGCGGACTTAATGCCTGATGCATTCTCTACCCGTCAACCGTCATGCTAAATATAGAGAAAGCAAATGGTGGTGCATTAATTTAACAAAACAATTTGTAGTTTAAATAAATATTTTACAACACAACAACATTAATACATTTTAAGATAATTTTTTTTTGATGGGTGAAAATAGTATCGTAACCCCGCCTGCGCTAACGGGATACGCTGGCGCTCCACCAGTGAAGGGTGATAGATGAGAATAAAAACAGGCCAGTTAGCCCATCATGATGAATTCATCAGGAATTAACCATGATAGTTTCCAGGGAGAACCGCGAGGAGGTCGACCTGGTTGGATATATTGCTAGCAATAAAATTCTCAGTCTCCATTACTAACAATCCCTTTCCCCCCTTTAAGATAAATTAACATAGAAACATATAGAATAATATACATACAAGAATTATACATACATAAATCACATTCAATACAATACATACATAAATAATTATACATAATACATATTAATATAATAATTATATAAGTAAAGACTAATTATATTATAGTACAGATGTTCTATTTATATTCACCGTATGTGGGATCTGGTAAATTTTAACATATTAACCAGAGGGAGACTTTGTACAAAAGTCGATTGCTTGGGTACCTCTGTCCCATTCGTGTTTCAACCGTGAAGCAGTTGTGTTTGCATGGCTGTGTTTCGGCTTGAAGGGTGGGATATGGCGTGAATTTACTGGGTACAGAGGAATAACACCTGAGTCCTCAGGAATGGCAACGCATGGGGGGTATCATGGGCGAAACAGTATACTCTGTTATGTCCATGGTACTGCTCATGTCTATAGGCGACGATTACCACTTGCAATCAGGTGGGCCGTCAGTTTGTTTGCCATTCTAAATTGTATAAAAAAAAACTATTTCGTTGGTTTTCCTACCTCTAAAATTCAAACGTAAGAAGTGATAGATATAAACCTAATATTATAAGTATAATAATTACATTTCCTATTACTATATTATTTTAATTGCCAATCAAACCATAGACCGACAATAAAAAAATAGACGTATTGCTTTTGAACATCTTTATTTTTAAACGGAGTACAAACGTTGCAATCGAACTAACATTTTGCCACCGAAAAGATTGATCTTTATAACATAAACGTTACGGACGATATTTGCAGGGCGTGAAATGAAATAATGTGTCTAGGGATTATCATTAATTAGGAGAAAGTAGAACGCAATGGTGTGTTTAACGCAAAAACGTGGCAGTAAAAAGTGTTCGCGGGAAACACGTAAAGGTCAAGGGCCGGCAGACATGTTTGTTACACAAGAATACATTTGCCTTTGACACAACGAAAATTTTCACTCCGCCATTTAATTCCTTTAAACGATACAACATAGTTGCAAATGTTGATGTTGTAACGAATTTCGATAATGAACTAAATGGACGAATAGTGAATTTAAATATTCAAAATTTTTAACGCTGTTTGTTATTGTAACGAGCAAATCATAATTACTGGTCACGTGTAACAGTATTCTAAATAAGTACATAATAATAATAAATACTACACAACCAAGAAGAGATCGCTTTAACGACAAGACTGCGTTTTGTACTTTTATTGTGATATATATTTGCATTTGGCGTTCTATTGTTCCTGCGTACCCTGATAGGAGACAGGTGTGATGGATATGTATGTATATATATGTGTATACTTTTTTATATTCTTTAAGTGGTGTAATAAATTCAAATTCAAGTCATCTTTCTTCAAATAGAAATGTTTACAAACACGTTTAAATGATCACTTTTTAAATCTACTGCAGGGTTTTTAAATCTACAACAAGAGCATATTGCTTTTTAAAAGGTTGGCAGCACACCAACAATGCTTTGGGCAATCATGAGCAGCGGTAATCACTTACCATCAGGTGAGCCGCATGCTCGTTTGACCCCTGTATTGTAAAACAAAAAAAAAGGGTTCAAAAAGTTATTATCTGTTGAGAAGAGCCCGCAAGAATTAAATTTCTATCTAAAATTAACGAGTAAATAAATAAATCACTTTGGTCTCTTGGTCCTAAAATGCATCATTATATCAGCCGTTAACTGTCCATTGCTGAACATAGGCCTAGAATGCCTATAAGTACTGCCACTGTAATTTTACAGGTTAGTTTTTAAACCTGTAATGCATCTTTATGCCATCGGCAAAATGCAAAAATTTACCAAACAAAACAATATTAAAATTCAAGATGAGTCAAGGTCGACTAATAAAATCGTAAAAGAAACAACAACATTTCATGTCCAACCCGCATAATGAGTTAAAAAATTTGCCTCCTCGATCAATTTGCGCCCATTACACGCGGGTCAGAGTTCGGCGGCTGACGATCCTAATGGCCACTTGTCGTCGCGTCATGTTACACCAAAATTATATTTAAATACATAAAGCACAAGAATCAAAATGCATCATCGCTACACATTTAATAAAACCGACTTTGTAATATGAATAATTTAGACTTTGAACCTTAACGAAGCGGAAATAGAGAGCTATTTACATTGCGAGCGGCACATCTTTGATAGTAGCGATACAAGGCGAATTTGGCTGGACCCCAATATGAGTATGCTAATTTGGGCAATTGCGAGAGGAACGCGAGGCGAGGTGCCACCACTAATGATTAGGAGACACGAGACTGGGTGATCTGATCTTGTGGGTACCATTGCATAATTTCCTGTGGTAGGTAAAAGTTTAGGATGTTTATTTTTATTTTTCGAGTATAATAAAATTAATGAACGTAAATTTAAATTTAATGAACTTACTGTTTGCAGCTTCTAACATCTGTTGCAATATCTTCGAGTTGAATACGGTGCCAAAATCGCAGCGTCCTGTGGGCCAAGATAATAGTACAATTAGTTTTTTTTAAATATCTATAAACTTGAACTGCACCTTAGATATTATAGAATCATACACACTGTAACACCCATGGTAACCCTAATGCATTGCAATTTGCGAAACTGACAAACATGTGTATGAAACAAATATGAAATTCTGTTAAAACAAGAGACGTATATGAAGATTTCTATCGCTACATACATCCCTTACTACTATTTAATGGCCGAGGGATAGGCAGCAGCGTTCCACATAAAAACATCACCAAACCCTAGCTTCGGTTGGCAAAACCCTTCTTATGGGGAAAATCTATGTTCAGCAGTAGACAGATACGGCTGATGGGGATACATCCATTGCATCATCCAATTTCAATTGTCAAATACAAATACAAGCAGATAGACATACTATTAATTCCTATGCTAGACCACACAGAGTGGTGGTCTTTTTTTGTTCCTACGCCAACTAAAACAAAGCTAAAACTATACTTTCCTATTTGTCTCTGTAAGATTTCCTATATGTGTCATTGTCTTTCAAATAAACATTTATTTTGATTAAGAGCTGTTGTACAGAAACCTAAATTTTTTTCTGTTCTGTTTGTTAAGCTTTTCCCAATTATCATGATATGTATACTTTTAGTAGTTTGTCATCTTCAGCAATCGTATGCCTTAAAGGTATGGTTTTTAAATACGTTGCTTTGCATTAAATGAGGTCTCGGTCGGGCCAATATAGGAAACAGACTGTTCTAAATCGTATATGGTCGGGATGTTTTGGGTTGTACTTCGAATGTTCGTTCCTGGTTTCTCATAATCCAGGACAGCTCGAAGACTTGGCTATTGCTGTGATTGCACATAAAGAGTCTAATGAGACTGAGTGTCCTGGAGTGTGCTCCGAGATGTTTATTGTCTGGTTGCTTTATAATGTAACCTGTTTTTATAGTGTGAATGTATGACCACTGCTTACTTTATTATTCTATTTATTTATATTAAAAAACATATGGCAAATGCTAACAATAAGCAACAAGATTCATCATTCCAGCCATTATCCGTCCATCGATAAACATAAGCCTCCCCCATAGACTGCCATAAAGAACAGCCCTGAGCCACCTGCATCCACTGACTCCCTGCAATACATTTCAGGTCGTCAATTCATCTAGTGGGGGTCGTGCTACACTGCGTTTACCCGTACGCAGTCGCCACTCAAGAACCTTTCTTCCCCATTGGTTGTCGCTTCTTCAAGCTATACGACCAGCTCATTGCCACTTCAGCTTGCTTATCCTTCGGGCTATGTCGGTTACTTTGTGGATATCCTCGTTTCGGATTCTATCACGTAAAGAGACGGGTAATAAGCAGATTATTGAGAAGTAACTAAGTAAACAACTTTTGAACAAACTTCACCATAATGTGAAGTAACAGTAGATACAACAAAAACTATTACTAAATTAATATTTAAATTTGTCAAAGATATGAGTAGCGTCTCCTGTCAAAAAAGTTTTGTCATTTAAATTAAGTACGATAAAGTTTTATGATATATCTTTTACTACCTAAAAAAAATCTAGTGATTTGTAAGTATAAATAATCAAATTCTTAATAAATGATGAACGAAACAAAAATATGGAAAGTTTAAATCATTACCATGCGAATGCCATTCTAAGTAGGCCTTTAGTTTTTGTCACCATTCCCCGTTGAAACTAGTCTAACCCGGTCCAAATCGGAATGCAAAGCTCGATTCGCTTTGTTGCATTCCGCTAAGATTGTACCGTTAAATTTGAATTCGTTTACAGTGTGCTGCATACGATGGTGTGCAGTGGTCGGTGTGGGCGTGTGCGCGGTATGCGCATGCGCGTTGTCGCCGACTGATGGATGACAGGTGACGTCGGCGCCGCAAAGAGCCAGGGGCGCAGCGCGCCATTACCGCGCACCAAATAAATATAGGTAATCTAGAAACCGGCAAAAAATGTTTCATTGCTCTTAATTAGAGCAAGTTTGTTTTTAATCGCTGGCTAGATAATGACCTGCCTGTGTGTTCTGCTCTAAAATTTATATTGTTATTACAATATGTTAGTCCCACAAGTAGTTGGTCTAAACATTATTAGCTACCTCATTTTGTTTTTCACGCATTTTTATTCTACAAGAAAATGATGATATTTTACTTAGGACCATTGTAATTATAGTAAACTTTAAACAATCCTTTAACCTGTATCGATGGACTATTTCATAGATAAATCATCATGTACTATGTAATTTTATTGATTATAATTTAAAAGTATCGTGACCTCCTGAATTACTATACTGACTGAAAAAACATATATTCGCAGGTTTATATCTTAATTGGTCGGTCTATATAAATGATTCTACTGATAGAATGACAGGCGATACTGTATAGTGTGTAAACTAAGCTTAAAAATTTATGTAAGCTAACCTTATCGATCATAGAGAATACGATGGCAGTGGAAAAATCATAAAGCTGTAAATGTAAATGTAGATTTCAAAATAAAGAGTTCTTATATGGAAGAGCGGATATTTTGATTATAGTGTTAAACTACGTAGATACTATATTCTGTCCTTAGACTATGCCAATACCTTTTTATACCAAGGATGTAACACCGGATCCTATTAATGTCTGCAAACTAGAAATATCACTCACGTATTGCGAACCCTTGTGGCATGATGATCTTGAGTCACAGTCTATCGATATTTCATCATCATATCTCATCCTTCAAACCGAATCACAGTATGATAGCAAGCTTTCACCCTCATACCCGACAGCCTAGACGGTACAACGCGGTTTCAGAGATGTTTTCTCCTATGAACGCTCAGGTTACTGAATGAAGTCGTGGCTGACGTTTTTCCAAGAGACTACAGCGTGGGGTTCTTCAAAAGAAAGAGAGAGGTATTATCGCGCGCGTATTATCCTTGGTATTGCAGGCGTTTATAGGCTACAGTGACCGCTTGCCATCAGGTGGACCATATACTTGTTTGCCACCTCAGTAGTGTAAACAAAAAGCTTTTCAATAACAAAAACTAGGGGAGGTGAAAATATTTCTGTCTATATGAATACTTTGTATTATTTCCTTCTAGTCTACATAATAATTCAATACTTGTTTCAATTAATGAAAATACTTATACCTAAGGAATATAAAAATTGTAAAATTGTGCGAACCCTACGTTTAAGCTCATTAGACATTCGCAGGATCACTGGAAACCGACGACAGCGCAGGCGGGAGGGGGACAGATCTTGCGGTGGAATCAAAGCGGAGCCGCCCGCAGCCCGAGCCGCATCATATACACCAAACACTTACCATAATCTCCGCTATGAATATCGAAACCAAACGCCAATAATTTAATCATTGCTTTCACAATCCGGTCATCATACTGCACGCATAGTTGGGACAAAACACATCTTCTAATATGCACTCGGCATGGAAAGTATGCGATATCGATGTTTGTTCAAAACCTGTCCAATAGTAAAAGTAAAAGTTTTTCAAATCAATCTTCTAACGTTCGATATTCAAAATAAAGTATATAAGATTATTATTCCTAATCCTTAACATAATCATATTGTTATTCAGTAAATTGAAGGCCTGATTCAGGAGATTAAACTATGACCGGATAACTATTTATCCTATTTAAGAGCTGCGCTCTTGTCGGTGGAGCTCTTGCCACTCACTACGATTTTCAGCGAGTCTCTTCACCTTTTAATACGACACAATACCAACTTTTTCCTTGATCTGCCTGATGTGACTATGTCGGATAACAAATGTTCAAATTTTTCACATATACATACAAAGAAAGTAGCCTGGAAATTCTAATTCCCATTAACTCAATCCTCACACAGATAGCAACGAAAAATATTCTTTAGAACAAAGCGTTTCCCTGATACAATTCAAATGCCAAATCATAAAAAAATATTTTTAAGGAGTTTTGTGACAAATGAGATTAATTTATTTTCCTGATCGAAAATGTCGTTTACAAAACATGAACAAACAAACAAAACAAAACATGTTTCTATAAATTTATCATGAAATTTAATAGTTCCTAAGTTCTAGTACCTCGTAAAATTACATGCGACTTAAAAAGATGTCTACCAACTAACAAACTATGTATTTCAATCGATTTGCACTAATTACTAACGACAATGTAACTAATCTAAGAAAAAGTTAAGACACACGCAATAGCAAAAAATAATTTGCAATATGGTTCCCACGGCGCATATAAAGAACCTATCGGTCATAAAATAAACTAGCGTAAGACGCATTAGTCACAGAACGCCGGCAACGTGGGCAATATAAGTACAAAGAGGGGCAGAGGGGAAGCAATCGTTCTGAGAAACTGCGCGTGCGCATCCTGGCGATCGTAAATCCCGAACAAGAATTTGGATATACGCAACCTTAGAATGTAACTCGACTAGTAAACTGTACTGGTAGATAATAATCACATGCGCCTGCGCAACCAAATTGAATAACTAATACCAATACATTACCAGTTATGGAGCCGATTACGTTTCGACAGTTAGTAGATACATAGATCTTACAATTATGGTGTATCGAATGCACTATATATCAAACAACATTAACTCGTTAACATATTTCATGACTTATTACTGTCTTGTCGCCGCCATACTAGATATGTTTATTCAAGCATTTCCGCATTTAACGGATTTAAATTTTCACTACATACGAGTAAATGTGCGTGAATGTGTGGTCAGTCCAGCCATTTAGAGTGCTCCAGAAGATCAGAATGGTTCTTATATTGTCGCAGAAAGGGACTCCGCACTAATTTTAGTTTATAGACGAATTTATGAATGATCTTTTAAAATATACATATTAATTGTATCCTTATTTCAAATAATAATTATGAATTTAATAAAATTTGTTTAAGTATCTATATATCCTTATAAACAAATAGTTTTATTTATGATTGAAGCTGTCAAATGTTTCCAAGTACACATCCAAAAATGTGTATAATATAAATGTGTGTATAATATAGTTTTACATCAC